GTGTGTGTGTGTGTGTGTGTGTGTGTGTGTGTGTGTGTGTGTGTGTGTGACAGCAACTAAAGAAAAAGTGTCAGCCAGGCAGTAGTGATCCACGCCTTTAATCCCAGCACTCAGGAGGCAGAGGCAGACAGATATCTGAATTTGAGGCCAGCCTGGTCTACAGAGAGAAACCCTGTCATGGACGGCCCCTCATGCCCCCGTTAAAAAAAAAAAGGAAAGAAAGAAAGAAAGAAAGAAGGGAGAGAGAAAGAGAGAGAGAGAGAGAGAGAGAGAGAGAGAGAGAGAGAGAGAGAGAGATTAATTTGAATGAGAGCAAGGTGGAAGGGGCGGGAGAAATGAAGGGAAGAAATGATGTAATTATATTATAAGCTGGAAAAAATTTTAAGTTGTTTAAAAATTTTCAGGAGCAGGAGAGATGATACAGGCAGCTCTTCCAGAGGTCCTGAGTTCAATTCCCAGCAACCACATGATGGGTGACAACCATGAGATCTGGTGCCCTCTTCTGGCCTGCAGGTATACATGCAGGCAGAATAGTGTACATAATAAATAAACAAACAAATCTTTAAAAAAAATTCAGACCAATAAATTTCCCCAGAGAACATATGTGTGTTGTGCTTTTCTTTTAAAAAAGTGTTGAAACAATTTAGATAAAGGTGGTCATGTGGATTCCCTGTGCTCACAAAGTATTAAGAGAGAAAAATCACAGAGGTTGCCAAACCCTACAACATTGTCGTCATCTCTACTATGATTGCTGATGGCGTCCAGACAGAGAACAGTTAGGGAATGGGGTCCGCCCACGTGTCAAATGGTCAAAGGAACAAAGGCATTTGGCGGCAACATTGAGACATTCAACCATTGTTCTAGATATTTTTATTTTGAAGTAAATGAGAACCGTGGAAGATTATAGAAGAGATAGGCATCATTTGTAATTCAATTATGTGTGCCAAAGTACCTCATCTCTCCTCTCCCCTGCCCTCCCCTCCCCTCCCCTCCCCTCTCCTCCCCTCTCTTCCCTTCTCTCTTTCTCCTCCTTCTTCTTCCCCAACTCCCCTCTCTCTAGTGGGGAACTGAACCCAAGGCCTAGACACATGCTCTATCACTTAACTAAACCTCCATCCCTCCATGTCCCACAGTTGGTACCAGTTGTAGCAAAATTGTTTTCTGTCACTTAAAGATGACCTTAAAAGTGTGCACTGACCAGGCATTGCAGATGACAGGCCACCCTGCTATTTGTCACAAAGGCATGGACTTTGAAGTACTTAATACTCTGTTCCCTCTAGTGAGACACTGTTGATCTCTGTCATTTTAGGGTATACTCATCTTTGAGGGAACAGCCTTCTAGCCTACCAGGGCTCCTCTTTGCAGGATGTTTCTCAGGGGTGCCTTGTCATTGGTTCATTGCCCTTAATATGCTAATGAGAGCAGGGAAGGCTCACTGCTCTGGCTCCTAGGGAGGGAGGGAGGGCCGGACTGGGCTGCATCAGGACCCTTCTGTGGACATCTTCCCACCAGCACTCACTCAGCAGAGCCAATTGTGGTCTTTATGCTGAGCAGAAGACCCTGTGGGAGCAGGCTGCCTGAGAATGGGCTGGAGGGTGCTCATCACAGCCTGGGCCCTGTGCTCCTTGGAGCACTCCACTCCAGGAATCAACTCAACCAATGGTAAGTTTCAGCTCTGTCACAGTCTTAGCATCTACCCTCATCCCGTGCTGTGCCACCACAACTTACCAAAATCTGTCTAGACACTGTGTTTGATGCTCTATGTGTGTTGGGACCCTGAGGGTGGTGAAGGCTGGGGAATGGTGCCATAAAAGACGCAGAGTAACCAAAATGGGCAATAGGAGACATCCATAGGCTGACTCCAGGAACAGAGCAGAAATGAGAATTGGCAAGTTTGCTGCCCAAGAAAGGACACACTAGCCTGTGTGTTGCTCATGAGTGAAAGGTGGAGTGATGCTGGCCTGCCCTTTGGTGCCTTTCCAGCAAGCTCAGCTTGAAAGTGTATGTTAGCTGTGAACTAATACTAATCAGAATCTGGGCCGGAGATTTGGGGTGCAAAGCTGACTGTTCCTCCAATCATCCTTCTGGATTATCTTCCCTGTATCTTTTGTGATGCACCTATTACAACTGCAAATGTGTTAGTGCCCACATCTGAACGCGGCCTTCTCCAGTTGGCTTAATCACGTCTACTTCTCAGCATAAGTGGGGCGTGCCTCTGGCCTGCACTACAGGCTTCCCTCTGTGCTATGCTCCCTGTCCTACTGGTGAAGTGCTCGGCAGATCCCAGGCAGTGCAGAATCAGGCTGAGAGTGTGGACAGCCAGGAACGCCATTCCTTAGCTGGGTAGGGGCAGTTTAAGAACACAGCCCCCGCATGATTAAAAAAGAGGAGAGCCAAGCACAGGCCACCAGGTTGTTCCGAGGCAATGGCCACTTCCTGCTCACTGTAGTTAACCATGGCTTCCATGTCATCGTCTAGTGCTGGGGAAGCTAATTCTTAATCTTACTTCACTTACATTCCAGTATCTCTGACGGGCTGGGTATTTCCCTTTCTTCACTCCTGTCCCTCCCTGGAGCCTGTGCTTAGGAGTGTGACTGTCACAAACTCTGAATTTCTCACCTTCCTTACATCCCAAAGGCAAAAGGCATGTAGTCCTCCCAAAGGGCAAAGGGTCCTGATGCTGGATGTGGCAGGTGTCTTTACTCTTGGCTCACTTTAAACATGAGGTGTTAGATCTGTCACAAGGCATCCAGATGGGGTGTTAGAGAGAGAGAAAACTCTGTTTGTGTACAAACAAATTGCAAATTGAAACTGATTCATTCCTTGAGAACAAATCCACTTTGAGTCACTAATAAAGCCGCAAAGCACACATTTCCCCAAATCCCTTGCACTTACCCCAACAAGAACAGACGATGGAAAATCAAAGGAATTAACAGAGAGAGAGAAAGAAGATTGGAGACCGCCATCAACCCTTCTTGGAAAGACAGGACAGTGGTGTCAACATGGCCCTTTAGCCTCCATGGGACTCAGAGGTTCTGCTTACTCAGCCTGCCTACTGAAACGACTTTCAGCAAACACAGGATGTAGGTACATTAGCCAGCCCAGCAGGCTCTTCCCTGTGCCCCCGTGGTTCCTTCCCTTTCCCCACTGGGAAGAAACTTTGTACAGGAAAAGAATCCCCACCCTACCAATTAACACCTTCCTCTTGAGTTCAGTGCAGACCCACAGACAATTCCAGAAGGAAGGACTTTCTAATTTCCCAAGTAAGACAAAGCAAGACTAAGTTTTGTATACTCTCTATGGAGGTTGGAAAGTTTCTGTAACTTAGAATTAGAAGAACTACCAAACACTTTTAAAAGTAATAAGGGGATGCTTTGCAACCACAGAGAACTTGGTCCTTGCCTCTGAATGGCAAAGTGGGAAACGAGATGACAGATACCCAGAACAGTTGGTTCTTTGGGTCCGAAAGAGAAGGGGTGCCATGAGAGATAATACAGAGGAGCTTAGGATGCTCCCCGTGAGTCTGTGTAATGGAGATGATTCTGGATGTCCCCGCTCCCTGGGTGTCTGGACTTATCAGCTTATAAAGCTGTTTTCCTTACCAGATTTCTCTCACTTCTTTTGCACTAGCTTGAGTGGTTGATCTATTCTAGGCAGTCACACAAAGATAATCTAAACAAACATGTCTCCTAAGGAGAGGGTAGAGAAGTGAGTTTTCTGATTGGGAAACTAGTGTTGCAGTATATCTTTTTCTCTGTGCATGCTGGATATTCTGATGTGAGTTCTCAGTGCTGAGACTAGAAGCATCAAGTGTCTCTGTCACCCTGTGTCTTGCAGTGAGTGTGGGAGGAAGCTGGTGTACTGAGTGTGGTATCCAGGATCAGCTAGCACAGCGCGTGGCTGAGGCAAAAGCTGAGGACATTTTTGAGGACCTGAAAAGGTGAGCGGGCATTGTTCTAGACCTGGGTGGGGGAAGATGAGCTGGACTGCAAACTCTGCACTCAAAAAAAGGAAATGTTTCTTGCAAAAGAATTGGGTTTGGTTTAGATTTACTTATTTTATTTGTATGAATGTTTCCCCTCGTGTATATATATGCATTCCTGGTGTCTGCAGAGGTCAGAAGAAGGCATCAGGTCCCCTGGAACTGGAGTCACAGATAAATGTGAGCTACCCATGTGGGTGCTGAGAATTGAATGCTGTCCTCCACAAGAAAAAACAGTACTCCTAACCTCTGAGCCATCTCTCCAGCCTCTCACAATGAATGGTTATACTTGGATGCGAACTACCCCAGCCAAAGGCTCAGAAGTTGAACACTTGCTCCCAAACAGTGGTATTATTTGGGGAGCTTGTGGAAACTAGGAGGTGGGACCTGGCTGGAGGGAACAGGTTACTGGGAGCACATTCTTGGAGCACTGTATCTCATAAATAATGTTTGCTTTTAAATGGCTTATGTTAGATATTTTGTCAGAGTGACAATAAAGTAAGACAGTAATAGTTCACTCTTTTTTCAGTGGGAGAAAAGCAGGATGACGTTGAAGGAGTTGCCTGGATGAAATAACTGTTCATACCCAGAACTGCTTTAACCTGACTGCTGTCTTCATAATAAATCAGGGTGTGCCTGTGATGTCCCAAAGTCTGGCCCAAAATATCTGTATGTAAATTTAGAAAAGTCCAGTCTTTCTACCTTTCCCAACACTCTGCTGCAGAAGGATCTGAGCTCCGCTGTGGCATCCTGGTCGCTCATATCCCAGGCTTTCTCTCTGGAGTACCATGCAGAGGGGTCTGAGCTCCGCTCTGGAATCCTGGTCGCTCATATCCCAGGCTTTCTCTCTGGAGTGCCATACCCTGGAGAAGGTTCTGCACTTGCTTAAAGGGAGAAAGAGAAAGACACAAGCTGCTCTTGCCTTCTCAACTGTAGCAGTAGATGTTGCTGAGAATGCATTTATCATGAAGGCATTTGAGAGGTCTCCCAAGGCTGCTTTCATCACTGGACAATGCCCATCACCCTTCCTACCAACCCAACAGGTTGCCTGCTGCTGGCAGAGGACAAAGGTTGCCTGTCAGTTCCTCCGGAGAAACTAAACATAAGCCACCGATCCAAGGGCACAGCACATCCTATTTCCAATCTCTCCTCCCTACTCTCCTTTAGTGTGGCATACTAGTGTTGTTCTGAGGACATGTGTTACCTGAAACTGCTGTCCGCTGGCTGCTGGTGGCCAGGTGTGGCACAAACATCTCCCATACCCCCTTTCTAAGTCCTGAAACAGTCAAGCTGGTCTGGCCTTGGAAGATAACTGTCCTCTGGCCTGGCATGGGGGGGGGGGGCGCAGCTAAAAGGCAGACTTTGTACAGGTGGCTGGGACCCTGCTGCTCTTCTGAGTCAGACTGAATATGTCCCAAATTCCAGTGTGGGACCCTGGCAGGACACTTCTCCTCATCCCCACTGTCCTCACCTCCAAACCTGAGTACCCTTACTGTCCCATCTGTCTGCCCCATCAAGTTACTGCAGACAAGAGGTGAAGGAGCATCAGAAGTATGTTTGCACACCTGCCTTTTAGTTCACTGTCTGCTTCTGCGTCCCGGCCATCCTTTCTCTAAAGACACCAAGAGGTGAGAACAATCGGACTGTCCTTGTTGCTACTTGGAAATGCCTCTGTTCAGTGTCACTACTGCCAAACATTGTTCAATTTGGCACTGTATTTTTCCCATGTCTCTTTAAAATTACCTGCCCTTTTCCCCCAAAGCTCTTCTCCTGCCGACTTGCAAACCCTTGGTGTTAAAATATTCGATGATGTCAGTCGGAAGTTAAAAGAAATTACTCCGTTGCTGTGAGTAGCAAGTAGACTGCCCCTCAGCATGGACGGAGGGGCATTCCTCACAGTGGAGAGAGGTTAGGAGGCCTTTTCCACAGTCCTCTGACCTCCAGAGTCCCGCCGTCCTTTGAGTCTGCAATGTGGTTGCTGGTTCCAAGGCTGTGTTCTTCTTGTTCACTCCCCCTTTCTCTGGCCTTTGAAAGGTGAGCCTAGTGAGAGGTAGATGGCGTTACCTTTGGAATTACTCAGTAGTTTATCAGAGGCCATCTGCACCTGCTGCCTCTTGTAAACTTCACATTTAGGCTGCCTGCGTGCTTCTGGCTTTCGCCATCTTTCTTCACCTCCATAACGTCCTCGTCTGCCCTCTGGTGGTGGCTTCCTGGTTATTGCATCAAGAACCAAGTTCATGAAAATTGATTAGCACTACCCAGGTTTTTGGTCTTTAAACAGCCTTTCTGAAATTAAAATACACACATCCTCCTCATTCCATTGACATCCAACAAAGGTGAAAAGAAAACTATAGATTTAAATGGATAAAAAGAGTTGAATGCATTTTCACACAAAAAGGATCAGATTAAGACCCTTAACTGTCATGGAACAGTACAAGAGGCCCTTGCTGGCCCGGCAATGCCAGCACCAGCCCTGCGATACAGGATTCTTTCTTCTCCATTGAATTAGAGGAAGATGGAGGGGGAGGCAGAAAAGAGGGAAGAGGAAGAGAAGGGGAATGGCGAGAGGAGGCGCTGCTGTCTAGAAGGGCACCATATTTTGCAGGAGCTGGGAGATGGATGGCGATTTCCATTACTCCATTGCAGCTCTCTACTGTGGCTAGCAGCCAGTGTGCAACACACAATCCTAATAATGCCATCAACTGTCAGAGCCCAAACCGGAACCCAAGTTCTAGTCATCTGCTGCTCTCAGATTGTTTTTGACTGTCAACTGAGTGTCGGTCATAATTAGCTCAGGTATTGAGGAGCCAGGTCTGGAGGGCAAGGTCCAAGGCCTCAGGCTGAACGGAAGATTAGTTTGAGTCTGGAGAAGCCGTCAGGGAGTATAGGGGAAGGTCTTTGAATGGAGCTGGGCAGCAGCTTTTAGTGCCTCCAGAACCAGTGTGAATGCTGGTTCAGTCTGAATGCTGGCCTTTCAACTCGCTAATGATGCCAACCCTTCCAAGTTAACTTATTTCCCTCAACTTCCATGATCTCATCATACAAAGTAATTATACCTGCCCCCTATGTTTGCCTTTGGTTCCTGTAACCAAAGACCCAAGACAATCCCCTGATTGTGACCAAAGATGTGTCTAGACTCACAGCTTGGACTGCTTCAGCCCATAGTGAGCTGGTCTTGCTGATTTAGACCTGCAGAGAAACAGCACGTAAAGGCCACAAGTGTGTGACAGAGCAAAACCACCAGTCACAGTCTAGAGGTGGAGGAAGAGCTCCTAAGATCCCACAATCCTACTGGGAGAGCAGGTCTCCCTGGGTTCCACCTCTTAAAGGACCCGACACCTTCCAATAGCACCACTCTGGGGACAAAGCTCTTGATATCCAGACCTCTGGGAGCTACAGCCTGATCTGAGTTTCTCTGGAGACTAAACCAGAGGATAACGATAATGCATGATTCATTCAGGTACCTGAATCCCAGTGTTCCTCCACAGAACATGGTCTCAGGGGCTGCAGAACAGCCAGTGAGGCCGGAAGTGGGATGCAGAGAAGTCCCAGAGCCCAGTTGATTTTATTGGCTGCAGTCTGCATAGTAGTGCTGATTTGCCTTGAAAGTGGGCTGAGGCAAACACAGGTCCTTTTACAGCAATCTCAATAAGTAATATTAACTCTCAGATCATGGGTTGCACATCACACAGTAATTATATATACATACACATGAAGGTCATAGAATGGCCATAGATGGGGTTCAATGGCTGCAGTGGGGTTCAAGGACTTCTCAGGGAGACCTTACTGGAGATAGGCAGAGTGCTGTTGTTAGGAATGTGAAATTACAGCAGGGATTAGACCGCGATGATGCCTTGTGGAGAGATACTGGTGACACTATCACCTAGCACAGTGGCAAAGATTCAGGGCTGTCAGGTCTCAGAGCTGAGTCCAGCTGCAGGGGCTCAGGGCCATGGAAGCTATGGGCATGGTGTGGAATGGGATCCAGAGAGATGGAAGCTTGCCTGAGCTGTGGCGGAGACCAAGGTAACTAAAGCTCTGAGGACAGTCAGGAGCTCTGCGCCTTTCAGCCCCTTGATGCTCACACTGGGTAGTCAGATGTTGGGGAGGGGGGTGTCCCCATTGCTGTGTTAGCTCCCTCTTCCAGGTAAGACTGTTGCAACCTTGCTCAATCTAGTGTGTTTTGTAAGTTCTAGGCTGGCTGGCTGGCTTCCTATTTTTGCTCATTTGTTTCTTCCTTCCTCTCTCTTCTCCCCCTACACATATTTTTTAAATAAATTATGCATATCTCACAGAGACCAGTTCCTTATCATCATCATCGTCATCATCATCATCGTCATCGTCATCGTCGTAGTAGTAGTAGTCGTTGTCGTCGTCATCGTCGTCGTCATTACTCTGTGTGTGTTTGTGTTTGTATGTGTGTTGGGGGCCCTGGAAAGCCCTGGTATAGGTATCGAGATCAAATGTTCAGAAGTGGGTTCTTTCCTTTCACCTTGTTGACCTGGCGTCTCTTGTTTCTGCCACTCCGTATCCAGGCTAGCAGGCCTGCAGGTTTCGTTAGGATTCCTCACTCCACCTCCAATCCTTGCCTCAGGAGTGCTGGCATCACAGGTAGAAGCTAGTGTGTCTGACTTTTCATGGGTTCTGGGCTTTGAACTCTTCATCAGGCTTGCATGGCAATCATTTTTACCTGCTTAGCCATGTGACCACTCCTGGGCCTCTTCCTAATACGGCTGAGATTCCCTCATGTGCTCATATGCTGCCAAGCTGCTTTGATGAATTCCCCAGTGATATTTTGTTACATTAAGGAACAAGCCATGTGTCAGTCATGCTGGCATAGAGAAGTCAGTGGTTGGGTCTATGTGCACAATGAGGTGCAGGGTCATTCTGTGCCTGCATTTGTACTCAAACGGGAGCCAGATGCTGCTTTTAAAATGGTGTCTCTCGGGGTAAGCCCTACCTGAAAACTCCTGCTGTATATACTGTGTTGTAGTTTAGAACGAGGCCCAGCATGATGGCAACATCAGGAATGGAGTTGGCAAGCCTCCATCCTGGAGTTGGAAACAAAACTGTGATGGGACCTTGAGAACATGGTGCTTTGTGAAAGGAGCCACTTGGCAAAGGCAAACCTTGTTGTGCAGTTCCTACTGGAGAAGTCTAAGCCATGGATGCAAAAGTAGATGAGGAATGGCCAAGGGATGAGTAATGGCCAAGGGTGGCGTGAGTTGGGAGATCTGGGGCTTCTTTCAGGGCTCTCAGGGTTCCCCAGAAAGTAAAAATCCTGGATACTGGTGGCACAGGACTGCACATATAATTGTTTAATTCCACCTTAAACACATTGACCATAATACAGTTTATATGTTTTTTTTTTCTTTTTCCTTTATACAGTCCAAAAGCAAAACAATATTACATAACCAAAAATTTGAAGTTTGGGGGGAATACTGGAGAGCATAAGATGCCCACTCCCCATGCTGCAGGGTTTATGACCCAGATCACCGAAAGGCTGTGCCCAACACTATGGCCTTCCTGAATTCCACTTTACAAACACGGGGCTTCCTGTTGGGGTGGATTTTGTCTGTCTGTGTCTGGAGTGTGACAGCTTAAGGACTTTTGGTTGCTGTTGTCTGTGTCACATGTTTTATTACAGAACATCACAGCATAAAATGCATACTCTCGGATTTTACTGGCCCGACTGGCACCCCATCCCACCCCCAAGCCCGTGTCAATCAACATGTTCTTTCTGCCTTGGGCAGAGCAACCCTCTCCAACATGAGAGTCAAGCCCTGAAGAATTACACAGCTTATTTTAATTCATTTAGGACTTGGCAAGGTATAACTGTTCAATTAAAAGGAAACGGTCCCTCGAATTAGCACCCGCTATGGGTCATCAAGGAAATGTCATCCTCAGCTGTGTATGGCCACAGTGAACTTTCAGCCAGAGCGGGGTGGGGCTGTCTCTGGCAGGAGCCCTGAGCTCCGTGTTCTCCTGCCCCAGCATGCAGTCTGTCTGCTGCCTGTAGTAGTAACTGGGTGAGCAAGGCTCTGGAGAGCATGTTTGGGCAGAAGGGAAGGCCCATCTTTTCTAAAAGGGAGATCCTCTTAATGCTGAACAGTAAGCCTGAGCCACATTGCTAGCTCTTAGATTTTTGTTTTCAAAAACATTTCTGTGTTAAGAAGTAAAGAGCCATAAATGAAAACAAAACAAAACACCAGAAAGCAAATAGCCAGAAAATGTGACCCATTAGGAATGTTCAAAATAACTTAGGATGCCCCCTCAGAGGACAGTACAGGAGGACATGCCATCAAAAGTGTCAAGGGAGCTGGTTCCACCAGTGGAGGGAATGTTTCCTGCACCGTGAGAGAGGCTGGGGAGGTGGCCACAGCAGCAGGCCAGGGACCAGAGCTGAATAAGTTAACCACATGCTGCAGGTCCACTGCCCCCATGAGGACAAGTCTGTCCTCTGCAGACCCGAGCCTGTAGTGGTCAGAGAGAAGCACAGGACACGAGGTGCCAGCCACTGTCTAGAGCTCATAACCAGAACTTGCCTTCCAGGTTCTCCAACTCCCTGTCCATGCCATAGCACATGGACATATGCCACAGTATATATTGATGGCCCAGCATGTGTGGAATGTGACTTGCACCTAGGTGGGTGCAAATTTTAGCAAATGGCTTTAACTGTGCTCCCCTCCACCCTAAGGACTTCTCCCTGACATCTGCCACAGCCCTGAGTGGGTCAATTTACAGCACATCTAGTCTCTGATGGTCCACCTTACGGGCTCCCAGAAACAGGCTTGGATGATAGAGAGGGTCTTTTGGATAAGCCAGAACACTTAACAGTCAGCTGTGCCAAGCATATGACAGAGTCTCTCTGCCTTTTGTCATCATCAGGAGCATCAGGAACAGTGACAGCCCCTGCTCCTGTCTCACGTGGCTGTGCGAGGCTGAAAGAGCAGATGGATCCTTCTCCGGTCCGCAGCAGGTTGGTGTCTGACCTCAACCCCTGAAGAACTTGCCTCTGAGCTGATGAGTAACCTCTACTTTGCCTTTCTAACTCTGGTAGATGCTGCACAGTCATGAAGAATTGAAATATGTCATTGCAATAAAAAAAGAAAATATACTCCATGCCTGTGGTAATGTCATCTCCCAGTGGCCAGCCTCATGAGTGCACGATCATATAAATAACTAACCTATTGCCTTAGCAGAGGCTGACAACATGAAGCCATAATAGGCAATCTTGAAGTTCCTGTGGAGCTTCCAATTAGGGGTAGGGTATTCTCTTTGCTGGAAACTGCCCCATTTCATTCTGTAGACAATGCCATGGACAGGTCGATTTACATTCCCCCAACCAAACCAGAGTCCTCAGTCCTCAGAGACCTCAATCTCACGGGCCATTTACTAAGTTGACTTTGACATGGAAAACCTGTGCCAGAGCAGTGACTGGAGAAACTCCTGTGACCTTAAACATTTGTGTTGCAGGACGCCCCTTCAGCAGGAGCCCTCTGCAGCCCCAAGAAGGAGGTTCTTGACTGTGAAGGACTGCTGTGCTCTGCGGAAGACTTGCCCAACGTGCTGCTTCTGAGGTCTGTCACCAGGAGGTCCCCACCAGGGTGGTCACATCCCCACAGACCAGCACCCAGGCAGCTCTCAGGGGTCTAGCTTTCCGTTTCCCCACCATTACCTGCAGGCAGAAGGAGCGTGGTGAAGGCCACACCCATCTTGTCTTAGTCACTACCAATCACTTGATGATTTGTGTCTCTTGGTTCTTCCCAGCTGTGACTGCGAGTGTGCCAAGCCACTGTGCTCAGGTGATATGATTAGCTGCTCTTTGGCACCTGCATCCAATGTTACGTGGTCCCTTTGTCTTTTAGAGTAGTCAGGAATTCCGACCACAGCACTGTCTGTCTGTGTTGCTTGGGGGAATAAACACAGCACAGGCAGAGGAGGGACATGTGAAATATTCCCGATACCCAAGCCCCTCCCATGCCCATGCGAGCATTCTCCATCTGCTTTGAAGGGCTCTGTCCTTTGTTCAGACTGCTAGCTGCTCATCATCGGTGCCTCCTGCAACAGTTCCCAGTAAGCCAGGGAGGGGAGTCCTATATTCTTGGGAGCTGGCTAAGTAGTTCCGGACTCTTTCCAGCTCCCAGCTCCCAACACGAGGATCTATGTGTGGAAATGGGAAACTGTGGGTCAAGATAGCATTGTACAAAACCAGTTGGTGGTGACTCATGGGAAAGACTGGCTTTCGGCTCATGATTTCAATGATAGATAAAAATTATTTTAGCCTTTTTTCTGTAACTAGATTAGTTGTGCTCCAGTAACTAACCTCAGCCTCCAGTGTGTTGATCCCAGTCTTTAGGGAGAGCTGGCCTCATCTCTAAAGTGATGACCTTAGTCTTTAGTGGGCTGTCCTCAGTCTTAAGGGAGCTGACCTCAGTCTCTAGGGGACTTTCTGCCCTCCTTTCAATGTCTCAACCAGTGGTCAGAGGTGTCTGTCTCACACGTGGCCAGTGATTCTGGTATTGCGGCGGGGGGGGGGGGGAGCCCACTGAGCACCAGGGCCCTCCCTTCTTCAGGGTCCCCACACCTATTCCCTGACAGCTATCCTTGACGGTCCACTCACGTCTAACCTCCCACCCCCATACCCTCTCTATTCCTGGGCTCTGCAGACCGCCCTGAAATCTGGTATCTGCTTCTTTCTCTTAGTTCCTCAGATCCCCCTCCTGGCATCGCCTGTACCTGCAGCCTCCTCAAATCCTGGTACCATCCCAAGAGTCCCTCTTCCCTCATTCAGCATCCTCCTGGGTCCATCCCGGTGACACAGCCTGAAAATGCTGGCCACTTTGCCACCTGCTACTTCCTAGAAACAGGTGCTCAGGTGCCTCCAGCTCTGGGCATCCGTGTTCACCTGGCTTCCGGAGCTGCTCTCTGTCTGCTGGTGGACTTTGGGGACAGTTGTGGAGCTGAGATGAGACTGTGTACAATGACAGATGTGGCTGCAGTGACTGGCTACCACCGGTACAGGAAAGGTAAGGTGCAGCATGTCCTTCTCTGGAAGCCTGGGGAGGAGATGCCATCCCAGGACACTGGCAGCATTCAGATGCTGGGAGGGAGGGAGGGAGTCACATTCCACCCTTTGGATCCTTCTGAACCAACCTGGTGGCTTCTGTATGGCCGAAGCTCACATTTTGGACTATGGCCAAGTCTTCATATACTTCAGCTCATTAATCTTCCCTCAGAACTGTGGGGTAGGAGAATGAGACTGAGAAACAGTCCCTGGGTCACTCAGTCAGTACAGGGCCTCCTTCCTAGACATGGTGACATCCCCAAATCCCTTACATTTCTCAAGGACCCATGTGTGATAGGGCACACTCTTTCTTTTGAGTTGAAAATTCCAACAATTTCAAAGTAATAATAACAAACAATGACCAGTGTTTATATGGACATTTTGGTGTTAGTTGGGTAAATCTAAAGCCTGAGGGATGAGTGTGGAATGTGAGTGGAAAACTTAACTTTCCGGAGTCATGGAGGAATTGAATTTTTTCTTTCTCTTCTGAAAATCATTGTTTTGAACATGGTCTAGTCTCTGTGCAAGCACACACAGCTGACAAGGTGCACACCAAGAGTCCTCTTCTCACTAACCCCCAGGCAACCACATCTTTGGTTTCTTACATCTCATGTGCATGTAAGACACTGTCAGGCTTATTCTGCTTTCTGTAAATGGGAGTGCACTAAGCACAATGTCCAGCTCTCTGCTCACTTAGGTACAAATGTCCACTTAGAGCAACTCCTCAGTCAGGCCCGAAAGGACTTCCCTGTCCTTTTGGGTGGCTGCTGTATGTTGACTTCACTGCCCAGGTCTGTTTAACTGGATTTTATTGGTGGATGTTGAGATAGTTCCCGATCTTTCAGTTTTAAAAGTGACATTGCAGTGAGTACGTGGCAGCTCATAGTAAAGAGAACATTGTGCCTCAAATGCCATGTCCAGTAGCGATTTGCCAAATCGCTCTCAATTAGAGCCGTGTGGTCTATGCTCTGTGAACAGCGCAACTGTCAGTCTGAGAGATGGAAACTGTCTCTCTCTGGAGCTCTGTGTGTCATTATCTTCATTCAAAATTAAAGTGCCTTTTAAAAAAAAACATGTTTAGCCAAAATGAGCACTTTTATGGCTCTGTACAACATGGGGTTTGTATTTTTCATTACTGAGAAAATTAGTCTTTTTATTGTGAGGGTAACAAGTTGCAAATATTTTTTTCTTCGTTTATTGTGTGTCAGTTTTGCTTTTAGATGCTTTTGTGTGAAAATGTTGTTTATTTATTTTGCTTTCTATTTATGGAGGTGCTAGAGAATTAACCCAGCTTCCTGTGCGCTAGGCAGGTATTCTACCACTGAGCTATAGATCCTAAGCCCCAGGTTCTGAGATACATGTCCCAGTTAAAAGTGTGTTCCTTGCCGGGCGGTGGTGGCGCACGCCTTTAATCCCAGCACTCGGGAGGCAGAGCCAGGCGGATCTCTGTGAGTTCGAGGCCAGCCTGG